TGGAGGAGGGGGGTGCTCTTAAAGGGGCAGGTTGCCTACAGGACTGCCGGTCAGGTGCTAGCCCAAGTTGGCAGTTCGGGGAGTTAGGGCCAGACTAGCATGGTCCTCAAACTCATGCAGGTGAAGGAACAGAAAGGTGTGTGTGGGAAAGGGCGACATTAAGTCACTTGAGCTGAGAGAGGGGCAAACTTTACCTTCAAGCAGGCTCAAGCTTGAGAACTCTTAAAACCCCAACGCGGCTGGGCACGGTGGCTCACGCCTGTAATCCCAGCACTTTGGGAGGCTGAGATGGGTGGATCATCTGAGGTCAGGAGTTTGACACCAGCCTGACCAACATGGTGAAACCCCATCTCTACTAAAAATACAAAATTAGCCAGAAGTGGTGGCACATGCCTGTAATCTCAGCTACTTGGGAGACTGAGGCAGGAGAATCGCTTGAACCAGGAGGCAGAGGTGCCACCACGCCTGGCTAATTTTTGTATTTTTAGTAGAGACGGGGTTTCACCATGTTGGCCAGGCTGGTCTCAAACTCTTGACCTCATGTGATCCACCCTCCTCAGCCTCCCAAAGTGCTGGGATTACAGGTGTGAGCCACCATGCCCAGCCAGTTACATACAGTTTATCTTTTTTTTTTTTTTTTTTTTTTTTGAGACGGAGTCTCGCTCTGTCGCCCAGGCTGGAGTACAGTGGCGCGATCTCGGCTCACTGCAAGCTCCGCCTCCCGGGTTTACGTCATTCTCCTGCCTCAGCCTCCCGAGTAGCTGGGACTACAGGCGCCCGCCACCACACCCGGCTAGTTTTTTGTATTTTTTAGTAGAGACGGGGTTTCACCGTGTTAGCCAGGATGGTCTCGATCTCCTGATCTCGTGATCCGCCCGTCTCGGCCTCCCAAAGTGCTGGGATTACAGGCTTGAGCCACCGTGCCTGGCCCATACAGTTTATCTTAACTTTATGTGGTTATTGGGTGACCATCTGCATTAGCTTACTGGCTTTATCCCAAGGAAAATTACAAACTTTTTTTTTTTTTTTTTTTTTGCAGAGTTTTGCTCGTTGCCGAGGCTGGAGTGCAATGGCACGATCTCAGCTCACTGCAACCTCCACCTCCCAGATTCAAGCAATTCTCCTGCCTCAGCCTCCCAAGTAGCTGGGATTACAGGTGTGCATCACCACACCCAGCTAATCTTTTGTATTTTTAGTAGATTCGGGGTTTCACCATGTTGGCCAGGCTGGTCTCAAACTCCTGACTTCAAGTGATCCACCTGCCTCAGCCTCCCAAAGTGCTGGGATTACAGGCGTGAGCCACTGCACCCAGCCAGTCACATATAGTTTATCTTAACTTTACCTGGTTATTGGGTGACCATCTGTGTTAGCCTTATTGCCTTTTCCCCAAGGAAAATTACAAACCTTTTTTTTTTTTTTTTGAGATGGAGTCTCGCTCTGTCGCCGAGGCTGGAGTGCAGTGGTGCAAACTCTGTCAGCTTACTGCAAGCTGCGCCTCCTGGGTTCACGCCATTCTCCTGCCTCAGCCTCCTGAGTAGCTGGGACTACAGGTGCCCACCACCACGCCCAGCTAATTTTTTAATATTTTTAGTAGAGACGGGGCTTCACCACGTTAGCCAGGATGGTCTCTCAATCTCCTGATCTCATGATCCACCCTCCTTGGCCTCCCAAAGTGCCGGGACTACAGGTGTGAGCCACCGCGCCTGGCCTGTTTTTTGTTTTTGAGACAGGGTCTTGCTCTGTTGCCTAGGCTGGAGTGCAGCGGTGTGATCATAGCTCACTCCAACCTCAACCTCCTGGGCTCAAGCCATCCTCCTGTCTCAGCCTCCCGAGGGGCTGAGACTACAGGCACGCACCACTACACTCAGCTAATTTTATTTTTTGTTGAGACGGGACCTCCCCATGTTGCCCAGGCTAGTGTGTTCTTGGCCTAGGTTCTCAAAACACTAAAACCACTCCCTTCCTCCCCTCACTTGCCCCTGGATAACTTTGAGAAGAGAGCTACTACTTGCTGAATACCTCTCTTCTCTTCACAGCTGAGCTTCTTTCAACAGGTGTGTTCTCACTCTCTGGCTCACTCACCTCACTTTTACGTTTCTTCTTGCTGAGATCTTGCATTTGCTTTTATTATTTATTTAGAGACATTTGCTTTTATTATTTATTTTATTATTTATTTAGAGACTCCCTCTGTTGTCCAGGCTGGAGTTCAGTGACCTGGTCACAGCTCATTGCAACCTTGAACTCCTGGGATCAAGTGATCCTCCCACCCTAGCCTCTGAGTGGCCAGGACTACAGGCATGTGCCACCACACCCAGCTAATTAAAAATTTTTTTTTGTAGAGACAAGGGGTCTCACTATGTTGCCCAGACTGGTCTGGAACTCCCGGTCTCAGCAGTCCTCCTACCTTAGCCTTCCAAAGTGCTGGAATTACAGATATGAGGCACTAGGCCTGGCCCAATAACAGCTTTATTAGATATAATTCACATACCATACAAATCACCCAGTTAGTGTACAATTCAAGATCGAGTATATCCAGATATATGTGCAACCAACACCACAGACAATTTTATAACATTTTCATTACCTCAAAAATAAACCCTGCGGAGTCTCTCTGAGCCTACTCTGCCTCGGGAGACTGCCCAATTTGTTAAATAAAATAAAATAAAATAAAATACCCCAAACATGGGCTGGGCGTGGTGGCTCACACCTATAATCCCAGAACTTTGGGAGGCCGAAGCAGGTGAATCACCTGAGGTCAGGAGTTCAAAATCAGCCTGGCCAACATGGCAAAACTCTGTCTCTACTAAAAATACAAAAATTAGTTGGGCATGGTAGCGGGCACCTATAATCCCAGCTACTTGGCAGGCTGAGGCAGGCGAATCGCTTGAAACTGGAAGGCGGAGATTGTAGTGAGCTGAGATGGCGCCACTGCGCTCCAGCCTGGGAGACAGAGTGAGACTCTGTCTCAAGAAAAACAAACAAACAAAACCCCCAAAAAACCCCAAACCCTGTATCCTTTCACTATTACCTCCAAACTCCTTCCCAGCCTCTAGGCAGCCTCAAATTTACTTTCTGTCTCCATAGATTTGCCTATCCTAGACATTTCCTATAAATGGCATCATATAATATGTGGTCTTTCGTACTTGGCTTCTTTTCTTTTTCCTCGCTCTGTCACCCAGGCTGGAGTGCAGTAGCATGACCACAGCTACAGTGATCCTCCCACCTCAGCCTCCTGAGTAGGTGGGACTACAGGGGTGCACCACCACATCCAGCTACTTTTTGTATCTTTTTGTAGAGATGGGGTTTCACCGTGTTGTCTAGGCTGGTCTTGAACTGCTGCACTCCAGTGATCCCTTGCCTCAGCCTCCCAAAGTGCTGAAATCCCAGCGGTGAACTACTGTGCCCGGCCTGGTTTCTTTCATCTAGCATGATGTTGTCAAGGTTCATCCATGTAGTCCTGTGTGTCAGCACTTCACTCCTTTTTATGGCTATACATTCCATTGTACAGATCTACCATAATACATTTTGTTTATTCATCAGTTGATGGGCATTTGGGTTGTTTGTTTCTGCCCTTTGGCTATTATGCATGATGCTGTTATGAACATTTATCACAGTATTTCTGTAAATATATGTTCTCGTTGTTCTTATGTAGATACATACAAGTGGAATGGCTGGGTCTTTTTTTTTTTGAGACAAGAGTCTTGCTCTGTCACCCAGGCTGGAGTGCAATGGCGCGATCTTGGCTCACTGCAATCTCTGCCTCCCGGGTTCAAGCAATTCTCCTGCCTCAGCCTCCCGAGTAGCTGGGAGTACAGGCGCGTGCCACCATACCCGGCTAATTTTTTTTTGTATTTTTAGTAGAGACGGGGTTTCACCATGTTGGCCAGGCTGGTCTCAAACTCGTGACCTCAGGTGATCCACCTGCCTCGGCCTCCCGAAATGCTGGGATTACAGGCGTGAGCCACCATGCCCGGCTCTATTTGTTCCTTAAGAGTCAGCTCCAGGCTGGGCATGGTGGCTCACGCCTGTAATCCCAGCATTTTGGGAGGCCAAAGCGGGTGGATCACCTGAGGTCACGAGTTTGAGACCAGCCTGGTCAACATGGTGAAACCCCATCTCTGCTGAAAACACAAAAATTAGCCAGGAGTGGTGGCGCCTGTAATCCCAGCTACTCAATTAAAAACAAAACAAAATAAAACAAAAAAACTTCAAGTTGCGCAGTGTCCTTCCTGCATGTTCTTTTGCATAATGACTTTGGGATGCCTTGATTGCAGCAGGAACTGATACCCTAGCATAATCAGTTGCGGTAGCTGCCTTTCTCCAACTGTGAGCCTCTGCAGGGAAGGAACCATTTCTTATCCCACACACAATGCTGAACTCAGGGTCAGATACTCTAAATGTGCTGAATCTCAAGGACAAGCTTTCGGCTGGGAGCGGTGGCTCACGTCTGTAATCCCAGCACTTTGGGAGGCTGAGGCGGGCGGATCACAAGGTCAGGAGACCGAGACCATCCTGGTTAACATGGTGAAACCTCGTCTCTACTAAAAAATACAAAAAAATTAGCCGGGCATGGTGGCGGGTGCTTGTAGTCCCAGCTGCTCGGGAGGCTGAGGCAGGAGAATGGTGTGAAGCCAGGAGGCGGAGCTTGCAGTGAGCCAAGATCACGCCACTGCACTCCAGCCTGTGTGGCACAGCCAGACTCCATCTCAAAAAAAAAAAAAAAAAAAGAGAGAGAAAAGAAAAAAGACAAGCTTTCTGGAGTCAGGAGGCAAGAAGATGAGACCATCATTCTAATTTTCAAAACATCACATGAGCAGGAAGGTATGAAAGGCCCCATCTGCCATCAGAGCTAATGACGTGCCCTCTGAGGCTGCCAACTCCCAACCACCCAACCAGTTCCCTTTTTCAGGGTCACGCTGATGATTTGAAACTTATCCCTGTGTTCAAGCTGCCCTCCCTTGGCACGTGACAGAAAAAAGTAAAAACAGGACTCAATACCATCCCTTCAGAGGAAGCCTTTATTGTAACATAAAATACACAACTTTGTGACTGCCCCAAATTGTACACAATACTTTTTTTGGGTGGCTAAATAACTAATCTGCCTTGACACTAAAATATGTATCTGAAATAATTTCACAAAGTTTTAAAAAGAAAAATTATAAAAAGTATACTTTCATTTTAAGTTATATTCATTTTGGTCTCTCCCTACCCCCTAGAAAAACCCTGCACATCCCACACACGGAGCTGAAACCTTTGAGGACTTGTGTGTCTGGGAGTGGGTGAGAGGCTGATGGGGTCAAGACCCACTACCTTTTCTTGTGATTTGCAGGAACAGGGAGGAGAGAGAAGACAGAACGCAGAGAGCGAGCACACCTTTCATCAAAAATCTCTGCTCTCTAGGCACAGCCTCAGTAACACCGAGGACAGCTCACCACTGGAACTGGACAAGCAGGGGAACCCCACGCTCAGGGAAGCCACACTCATCAGCTCTCTTCCTCCCCAACCCAGTGCCAACTGCAAAGTGAGCTCGAAGCGGCCTGGGACGGCCTGGCTGCTCTGTCCTCAGCAGGCCCTGGGGTGGGTCCACTCCCAACCTGAAAGTGTATCAAGTCTGACCCCCCACCAGGGTTGCTGGAACAGAGAGCGAGGTCTCAGAGGCAGGTGTCGGTGAAGCATCTCTGGGTGACAGGCAGGGAGGGGCTCTTTGAGCCTAGGTCCCTGAATAGGCAGGCTCTCCTTCTCACCCTTCCCCAATGCGCCCATCCTCACGGTTGGAATTTTCATCAAATCTTGAGGGGTAGGGAGGGACTGAGTGGGATGTGGGTAGCCTGCTCCTCAAAGGCAGAGAGACTCTACTGCCTGGCATAGAAAAATAAATCAGTGTATGAAACCAAGCCAAGGCAAATGGCAGCTTTAAAAAAGTCATCTTCCAATAAATAATTTACTATAGAGGAATATTTTTCTTTAACAGCAAAACACTGATAAATTCAGAAGTTATTTTTGTAAAAAAAATATCTGTTTATTTACTCTCATGTATAAAAATAAGGTTTATGGGGCCATCCTCTCCTGGGGGTGCTCATGCCCTTCTTTTGGAGAGGGGGCCGAGGGGTGACCTTTTAGGCCTTACCCGTAAGCTATTTTAATACACCTGCTCACCCCCGCTTCCCCCACTGCCGGCTGTAGCCCATTCCTTCCTTCTGGTGTAAAGCTACAGAAGAAGAAATCGTGGAACAAAATTATACCGAGGCTTTTGTTTTGTTTTGTTTTTATACTTTCATCAAACTCCCCAGCAAACCTGCTGACTGCATTTCCTCACATTACCAACACCCGCCAGGACCCCACAGCAGGGTGACCTGCTGAGCAAGCTGGCCTAGGTTCAGCCCACACTGCTACCACCTACTCTTCAAGACATCAGGTGTGAACAGAGAATGGGAATGAGGTGACCTGGGTTCGAATGACCCAGGGCCCAATGCACAAGAGAGAATTTTGATGTCAAATTAGGGTGGGAAGGGGAAAACAAAAAAGATCCAACTTAGAAACAGAAACATGATTCAACATTTGCAAAAAGCATTATTAATAAGCCTGAAGAACACCTCCGACTGTGCATCCGCTGGCTCAGAGAAAGGCTGGGCAGCCGGAACAGCACCTTCCTGGGTAACCAGGCAACAGTCTCAGCGCCCAGGAGTCAGGGCTGTGCGCTCCACTCTGGCCAGAACACAAAGGGCGTTGGCACTGTAAGCTCTCAGTTACATGGCCCTCTTTTCTCTCCTCTATTTCTCCAAACGTGTGCACGCCCAGAGGAACTGAGTGGCAATTCCAGGGTGCGGGCAGGCAGGAGGGGAGAAAGGACAAAGAGAGAATATTAAGATGAGCTAAGTGTTATGTGAAAAGCCACCACCCATCCGAAAGCCTGTGACTTCCCTTGCCCCAACAATCTTTGTAGGTTGCCCCTTTTCCCATTCCTGCCCAAGAACACAGGGGTAGGGGAGAGGGAAGGCTCTCTTTGTCAAAAAGCAGTTATCTACATTTCAGAAGAAAAGCAGAGACAATCACGGTTATATATCAATTGCTTGGCAGACAGAGTGACAAAGACTCACTGGAGCACACGTGCTTTCTCCTCCCTTTGTCCGTCTCTTACTCAAACAACCACATGTCAAAGTCCAGCCACTCTTAAGACACATGGCCAACTTCCGGGCTTCACGAAACTCACTGCCTTTTTGCACAAAGTAAAAACCACCACAGCCTCTGTCTGTGGCCTCTTTGCTACAACTAAACTCTTGGACAGTGAGAGGGAGAAACACCATAATGTGCAAACACACACACACACGCACACACACAAACACACACACACACACACACACACACTCTCACACTCCCTTTGCTGGTGCCACCATGCACAGAAACACTAAGGTCACAACTAGTATGAACACTTCACATTATGAGTATTGTTTCCAAAGAGAAGCGATTCATGGAATTAAAACATCCACAAGAGTGATTCCTCTGGTGAGGATGAAGAAGCTGAAGACGGAGAGGTCACGGGGTCACGACTGTGCGTGTGGGATCCACTGACTGTCCATTGGCCGGCCCAGGAGCTCCTCCACACGCCGTGCCACGTCCATTGTGTCCTCCAGATCGAAGTCCCCATCGGTGTCAAGGACTGAATCAGGGCTTGGGAGGGAAAGAGGGATGAAGGGAGGGGGAAAGGCTGTGAGAGACCACCCCAAGCCCCACAGGCCACCAGGGGAGCAGTCTGAGCCAGCCTATGCCCTCAGCCTGGGGCTTCATGGGAAAAGAATGACCATTCGAACAGCTGGCTACACAGCAACTCAGACTGAAATGCCCTCCCCAGTTACCTCTCACAACGGCTGTCCAGACACAGCACAACTCCACTCAGTCCTTAGAGCAAGAAAAATCTCCATTTTGAGAGAGGGGAACAGATGACATTTGCCCAACCCGACTCTAAACCACCAATCACTTCTGGTCAAATCTCTCCCTCCCAAAGGCCAGAGCCCAGGCCAGGGCTGCCTGGTCTCAGATCTAGAGGAGCTCTGGATGCCTCTGCCCACCAGCCCTCCAGGGGTCCAGCCTGGGGCCAAGCCCCCAGTTCCTCCCCTGTGGACCCCCATGAGAACGCCACCTACTTCTGTGGGTACATGTTATAGTGAGCCTGGGGGCACACAGCTGGGGAGGGGGCCTGGTCCATGTACGTGGCGCTGCCGCTCCCGGCATCTGCAGATGCGTTCACAAACCTGCAGAAGGAAGAGAACAGCTTCAGCCGCCAGGGAGGCCAGGGCAGCTGACGGGGAGGGGACCAAGGGGCATGTTTTTCTTTCTCGGGGTGTAGAAGGACAAAGTGCCCACTTGGCCCTGGAGCTCCAGCTACAGGAGTGGGCACTCGGGTACTGGCACAGCGTGACCAAGCCCAGGTCCCTCCCCAGGACTGAGACAGGTTTCCTGGGGGAGCAGAAAGCTGGGCCCAGGATCAGGGTGGGAGGCAGGGTCTGGGGAAGGAGGAAAGAGGCAGAAGGAGGGCCAGAGCCACCTGGCCACTTACTCAGGGACCACTTGCTTGATCTGTGGCTTCACGTATCCATCAACGGCTTTAGCTGCCAAGGGGAGAACCAAAGTGCTCAAAGTGCTCAAGTGAAATAAAAATGTGATCTTCCTTATGAATCACATCTTTTCTTAGGACAGAACACAACCACCTAACTTATCTAAGGATATGACACAAGCCCTTAATATTTCTTTTTTGTTTTGTTTTTTGAAACAGTCTCACTCTGTCATCCAGGCTGGAGTACAGTGGTGCAATCTCGGTTCACTGCAGCCTCTTCCTCCCAGGTTCAAATGATTCTCATGCCTCAGCCTCCTGAGTAGCTGGATTACAGATGCACCACCACACTTTGGCTAATATTTGTATTTTCAGTAGAGACGGGGTTCCACCATGTTGCCCAGGCTGTTTTCTAACTCCTGACCTCAAGTGATCTGCCCACCTTGGCCCCGCAAAGTGCTGGGATTACAGGCGTGAGCCACTGCACTTGGCCAAGCATTTAATATTTCAATCTGTTAGGAAGACCTGGTAAAGGAGAAGATCAGCACTAAAACTGAAATTCAAGATATCTTCCAAATTGGCTTGGATGTTTCAATAAATTCTTCAAACCACGGAAACTATGTACTTCAATACAAATCTAAGTCAAGCAATAATTGCGTACTAATTAAAAAAAAAAATACCTTGAAAAGCTTAAAGTCCAAGATGCAGCAGAGAGAAAGGATTTGCTCTACCTGACCCAGGGGATAAAATCAGGACCAGGAGGGGCAGGTCCTAAGAGGACAAATGTTCAGACATGTAGGGAAGAATGTTCTAAGTAGAACTGCCCAGAAAAGAAATGATTTATTTTAGGAAGGGCTGATTTCCTTGTCACAGGAGGTTTTCTTTTTTTTCTTTTTTGACAGAGTCTCGCTCTGTTGCCCACGCTGGAGTGCAGTGGTGCGATCTCAGCTCACTGCAACCTCCACCTCCTGGGTTCAAGCGATTCTCGTGCCTCAGTCTCCCGAGTGGCTGGGATTACAGGTGCGTGACACCAAGCCCCGCTAATTTTTGTATTTTTGGTAGAGATGGGGTTTCTTCATGTTGGTCAGGTCTCAAACCCCTGACCTCAAGTGATCCACCGTTTTGGCCTCCCAAAGTGCTGGGATTACAGGTGTGAGCCATGGTGCCTGACCATCATTGGAGGTTTTCAAGCAGAAGGTGCATACACACTGGTCAGGGATCCTATGGAAAGGCCTAGGCACTGGAGAGCCACTGATCTGACCTGGTCTGAGGTTCCTCTAACTCTGAGTGTCTAGTCTTTCAGGGAAGGGAAGGCTACTTTTCCCAGCACGTGCACGCTTCTTCACGCCTGGTGCTTCCGCATTTGGGGTACTTTGATGTCACTAGTCCCAGTGAGTGATGTTGGTGCCAAGAATGCGATGTGTCCTTTGCTTCCCACAGAATCCCCACTGGGATGTGGCAGATGAGCAGATAAACCTGCACATGATCTGGTCGACCAGTTACCTTTTCAGAAGGCTGACTATGGAAATCCAGGTAAGCAGGTAGTAAGAATGTGATATCTGACATGGGAGAATGAAGCCTTGTTTCTGGGTATGTGAATACAGGAATCAGTACAATGTTAATTATACTAGGCAAGGACGATCCCACTATGATTACAGGACAAAGAGCTTGTCATTTAAGTAGCCCAAGAGGGTGAAATGCTGCAGGGTTCACCAATTGCTTGTTACCCTAATCTTCTTCTTCCAGGGCTTCCAGTGTCAGGAGCGACCTTTTCATAATACCTCATGTTTTTTTGTGCTTTATAGTGTATAGAGAATTTTATAGATTGGCTAAGAAGCTAAAAACCAAAGAAATGCTGCCAGAAATAGGACTTTTTTTTTCTGAAACAGGATCTTACTCTGTCACATATGCTACAGTGCAATGGCACAATCATAGCTCACTGCAGCCTCTAATTCCTGGGCTCAACCAATCCTTCAGCCTCTGCCTTCTGAGTAGCTGGGACTACAGGCATGTGCCACCAAGCGCAGCTCACTTTCATTTTTGTAGATATGGAGTCTCACTATGTTGCCCAGGCTGGTCTCAAACTCCTAGGCTCAAGCAATCCTCCTTCCTTGGCCTACTAAAGTGCTGGAATTACAGGCTTGAGACACTGCGCCCAGGCCCAAATTATAAGCATCTTAAATAACGAACATGTAACTCACCATAATACAATGGGACTGTAGGCAATCATCAAAATGATGTTGGAAGATTACATTTACTGAGCTGCAACTCTGCACAGGATATATATATTTTTTTGCGGCAGTCTTGCTCTGTTCCCAGGCTGGAGTGCAGTGGCGTGATCTCGGCTCACCGCAACCTCCGCCTCCCGGGTTCAAGCGATTCTCTTGCCTCAGCCTCCTGAGTAGTGGGATTACTGGTGTCTGCCACCACACCCAGCTAATTTTTGTATTTTTTTTAGTAGAGACGAGGTTTCACCATGTTGGTCAGGCTGGTCTCGAACTCCTGACCTCAAGTGATCTGCCTGCCTCGGCCTCCCAAAGTGCTAGGATTACAGGCGTGAGCCACCATGCCCAGCTACCTAGGATATATTTCCAAGTGAAAAAAATAAAAAGTCACAAAAAATTATATATAGTATGGTCCAAACCCCAACCTTTTACCCTGAACTCCAAGGCTGGAGTGCTCTGACCTCAGCTCTTACCACTTATCTTCCCTGCTTTCCAGACATGCCCATTCTCAACCCAGGATTTTTGTACTTGTTCTCTTGGCATAGAATGTTTTTTCTCTAGATCTTTGTATGGCTAGCTTCCTTACTTCATTTATGTCTATTCAAATATCACATCCTGGCTGGGTACAGACTCACGCCTATAATCCCAGAAACTTGGGGGACTGAGGAAGGAGCACTGCTTGAGCCCAGGAATTTGAGACCAGTCTGGGAAACATAGCAAGACCCCAGATCTATAAAAATAAAATAATTAACCAGGATTGGTGGTGCATGCCTGTAGTCCCAACTATGTGGGAGGCTCAGGTGGGGGGATCCCTTGAGCCTAGCAGTTGGAGACTGCAGTGAGCAATGTACTCCAGCCTGGGCAACAAAGTGAGACCCTGTCTCAAAAACAAAAACAAAAACAAAAAAAACATGTTCTCAGAGAAACCCCCTTTGACCACTCTAGTAAAATAACACCTCCATTCTCCTCCCTGCCACTTCTCTATGCCTCTACCTTGCTTTGTCTTCAGAGCGCCCATCACTAAATGAATATATTTGTGTTTTGTTTGTTTGTTTTTGAGACGGAGTCTCACTCTGTTGCCCAAGCTGGAGTGCAGTGGCACAATCTCAGCTCACTGCAACCTCCCCCTCCCTGGTTCAAGCGATTCTCCTGCCTCAGCCTCCCAATTAGCTGGAATTACAGGCACCTGCCACCACACCCAGCTACTTTTCATATTTTTAGTAGAGATGGGGTTTCACCACATTGGCCAGGCTGATTTCAAACTCCTGACCTTGGGTGATCTACCTGCCTCGGCCTCCCAAAAGGCTGGGATTACAGGCATGAGCCACTGTGCCTGGCCTGAATATATGTTTCCTTGTTTATGGTCTTCATTCTCCTGCTAGATTTAACCTCCAAACAGGAACTTCAAACATCAGGTGATGCAATGTATAATACATACCTGTTTAGAGAGTGCAAGAATAGTCACTAAATCATCCATAGAGGTTAATCTCTAGATGAGAGATGTTGTGTGGTATCTGTTTTTTTGTTTTTGTTTTTGAGATGGAGTTTCACTCTTGTCGCCTAGGCTGGAGTGCAACAGCACGATCTCAGCTCACTGTAACCTCCACCTCCTGGGTTCAGCCGCCCAAAGTGCTGGGATTATAGGAGTGAACCGCCACGCCCAACTTACTTTCTTTTTTTTTTTTTGGATCCTGAGTCTCACTCTATTGTCCAGGCTGGAGTGCAGTGGCACAGTCTCAGCTCACTGCGATCTCCACCTCCCAGGTTCAAGTGATTCTCATGCCTCAGCCTACCGAGTAGCTGCGATTACAGGTACCCGCCACCACACCTAATCTTTGTATTTGTTGTAGAGATGGGTTTTCACCATGTTGGCCAGGCTGGTCTGGAACTCCTGACCTCAAATGATCCGCCTGCCTTGGTCTCCCAAAGTGCTGGGATTACAGGCATGACCCACCGTACCCGGCCTGTTTTCTTTTTCATGCCTTTATGCGTCTTCTGAAAATTTTATAATAAATATGTAATACTTCTAAACTCAGAAAGCAATAAAACTACCTCTGGCATGAAAAACAAAATTTTACCTCTCTAATTTTGTTTGATCTAAGCTTGTATTAAAAAGAATGTTTTCTTCAATTTGATATTTGGGATTAGTGGCAGATGTGTTTTCTGTACGACTGAAGAATCCAGCCTAGGGTTTACATCTGCCCTGGAAAATGCTCAAACTGCTCTCACTGAATGGTAACTGTGTGGGTTTTCATGCAAGAGAGATAACACATGCACACAGGCACGCACACATACACACAAAATCAAATCAGAATGCGAACACTGTTACCAGTAGCAGACTCGCAGGGAACTGGTGTGTAGTATTTGGAGTATACTTCATCTTTCGGCCGATCAGGAAACACGTAGATAAGGTAATTCAAGTCTCCCAAGCGGTCAGCTAGGGACCGAATGGAGAAGTCTCTGGTGGTAAAAGGCATCAGATTCCAAAACATTCTTTCCTCTAGATCAATAAACAGAACAATCACATTCTAAACATGATTTCTGAATAGGAAATCTTAAAACCCAAACATACTATAAATTCAAACTTGCCATTATAATGGCTCCAATAGAAATCTCCATTTAAAAATAACCATGGGTTACAGATGAACTATTTTTATTCATTTATTTATTTACTTATTTTGAGATGGAGTCTTGCTCTGTTACCAGGCTGGAGTGCAGTGGTGTGATCTTGGCTCACTGCAACCTTCGACTGCCTGGTTCAAGCAATTCTCCTGCCTCAGCCTCCCAAGTAGTTGGGATTACAGGCACGTGCCACCACACCCAGCTAATTTTGTATTTTTAGTAGAGATGGAGTTTCACTATGTTGGCCCGGCCTGAAATAGTTTTAAAAGCCATGGGTAGGGGCCAGGCATGGTGGCTCACACCTGTAATCTCACACTTTTGGAGGCCTAGACAGGTGGATCACCTGAGGTTAGGAGTTTGAGACCAGCCTGGCCAACATGATGAAACCCCATCTCTACTAAAAATACAAAAATCAGCCAATTGTGGTGGCGCTCATCCGTAGTCCCAGGTACTATGCTGAGGCGGGAGGATGGCTTGAGGCTGGGAGGTGGAGATTGCAGTGAGCTGAGATCATGACACTACACTCCAACCTGGGTGACAGGGACTCCATCTCAAAAAATAAAAATAAAAGCCATGGGTAGATAAGCAGGTAATACACCAATCACTTCCCAAGAGATCCAATAATCTCAGACGTTTCAAGTTCAAACAGTATTCCGGTCCTCAGTAGAAGAAAAAGTTCTTACTGACCCCCGATCCCTGATTCCCTATACAAAGATATGTAAGAGCTAGGAAGCATGCCCACAACCAGAGAAAGCATAAGAGCTATTAAAAGTGATTTTTTTTTTTTTTTTTGAGATTTAGTCTCGCTCTGTTGCCCAGGCTGGAGTGCAGTGGTGCCATTTCGGCTCACTGCAAGCTCTGCCTTCTGGGTTCATGCCATTCTCCTGCCTCAGCTTCCCAGGTAGCTGGGACTACAGGTGCCCACCACCACACCCGGCTAATTTTTTTGTATTTTTAGTAGAGACGGGGTTTCACCGTGTTAGCCAGGATGGTCCCAATCTCCTGACCTCATGATCCGCCCGTCCTGGCCTCCCAAAGTGCTGGGATTACAGGCGTGAGCCACCATGCCCAGCCTTTTTGTTTGTTTGTTTAAGAGACAGGGTCTTACTCTGTTGCCCAGGCTGGAGTACAGTAATGTGATCATGACTCACTGTAACCTTGAATTCCTGGGGTCAAGTGACCATCTCGCCTCACCCTCCAGAGTAGTTGGGACTATAGGCGCACACCATGAGCACCACCACGCCCAGTTAATTAACTTATTTATTTATTTACTTAGAGACAGGGGCTTGCTATGTTGTCCAGGCTGGTCTTAAACTCGTGGCCTCAAGAGATCCTCCCGCCTGAGGTTCCCAAAGTGCTGGGATTACAGGCATGAGCCACCACACCCAGCCAAAAGTTATTAAAAACTTTAATTCACGGCCGGGCGCGGTGGCTCAAGCCTGTAATCCCAGCACTTAGGGAGGCCGAGACGGGCGGATCACGAGGTCAGGAGATCGAGATCATCCTGGCTAACACGGTGAAACCCCATCTCTACTAAAAATACAAAAAAAAACTAGCCGGGCGAGGTGGCGGGCGCCTGTAGTCCCAGCTACTCGGGAGGCTGAGGCAGGATAATGGCGTGAACCCGGGAGGCGGAGCTTGCAGTGAGCTGAGATCCGGCCACTGCACTCCAGCCCGGGCTACAGAGCAAGACTCCGTCTCAAAAAAAAAAAAAAAACTTTAATTCACAGAAAACGAACTAGCAAGCTACCCTTATTGTGAGGGTCAGAGGTGAGAACTAACATTCCTGATGCCCAGGTGCAGCGGCTCAAGCCCGTAATCCCAATACTTTGGGAGGCTGAAGCAGAGGATTGTTTGAGCCCAGGAGTTCGAGACCAGCCTGGGCAACATACAAACAATTTAAAAATTAGATGGGTGTGGTGGTGCATGTGTATGGTCCCAGCTAATCAGGAGGCTGAGGCAGGAGGATTGCTTGAGGCCAGGAGGTTGAGGCTGCAGTGAGCCATGTTTGTGCCGCTGCACTCCCGCCCAGGCAAAAGAGTGAGACCCTGTTTCAAAAAAAGAAAAGAACTAACATCTTGGGTAGAATGATTGATGGCAATATCCGTATGTTAAAAGGAATATTTTTACTACTGTAAGAACTTCAAATCATCAAAGTAATTCTTCACTGAAATAAGCTTTATGCAGAGTAATACAATAAGGCAAACATTTTAAGAGGAAAGCAACTGAGATTCTGCACAGACTCTTGTATCATAGGTAGCCATGTCATGGTTTAACTTTCATGTATAACCATGTTGCCATATACTTTCATGTATAACCAAATTAGTAACTGTGTTTCCCATATTAGTATTTTTCATAGGCTGCCTTATTAAAAGTATGTTATGGCCATACATTTGTGTTTCCCATAATTAGTACTGACCCCAACAAATAGTAAGTACCCACTAAATTATTTGTTAAAATAATTTTGTAACAAAAGCAGCAAATTTTGGACATAAGGGAGGGGCACTCACGAGAATCAAACTTCCAAGCAATGGTGATGCCGCCAATTTCTGAGTCACTGAATCTCAGCAGGAAGGTCCCATCTGGCTTGTTAATGAGTAGGTCATGGGCCTGTTGCTTGTTTACAAACCCCAAAATGGCCCTGGATCACCAAGGACAAAGGACAGAAGCAGAGTGTGACTTATGATGCCAGAAAGAAGACTTTCAGACTCTGTTGGTGCCTTAAGAAATAATGATTCTCACCCATCATTCCAATGAGGTTTGAGATGTTTTTTTAACACTTCCATCACACCGTCAAACCACTGCCAGAAAGTGTAATTCCGTCCTGGTAAATTCTCCTGGTTGGAGATACAACAGTAAACACAAGAAAATAAGAGTAACACTTGGAATATTATACACATATTTAATTGGAAAAGTTAAATGAAGGCCGGGCGCGGTGGCTCACGCCTGTAATCCCAGCACTTTGGGAGGCCGAGGCGGGCGGATCACAAGGTCAGGAGATCGAGACCATGGTGAAACCCCGTCTCTACTAAAAAATAGAAAAAAATTAGCCGGGCGCAGTGGCGGGCGCCTGTAGTCCCAGCTACTCGGGAGGCTGAGGTAGGAGAATGGCGTGAACCCGGGAGGCGGAGCTTGCAGTGAGCCGAGATTGCGCCACTGCACTCCAGCCTGGGCGACAGAGCGAGACTCCGTCTCAAAAAAAAAAAAAAAAAAAGAAAAGTTAAATGAGAAACAAACATCTACCCTTGTCAGAGGTGTACAAACATCCCCACCTACCTGAGTTTTACCTAATGGCCCCATGGAGAAGAAAAGAGGTAAGAAGGGGAAAATAGGCCGGGCGCGGTGGCTCACGCCTGGAATCCCAGCACTTTGCGAGGCCGAGGCGGGTGGATCACGAGGTCAGGAGATCGAGCCCATCCTGGCTAACATGGTGAAACCCCGTCTCTACTAAAAATACAAAAAATTATCTGGGCGTGGTGGTGGCGCCTGTAGTCCCAGCTACTCAGGAGGCTGAGGCAGGAGAATGGCGTGAACCCAGGAGGCAGAGCTTGCAGTGAGCCGAGATCGCGCCACTGCACTCCAGCCTGGGCGACAGAGCGAGACTCCGCCTCAAAAAAAAAAGAAAAAAAAGAAGGGGAAAATACCACACTGCAGTTACCAGCACCCAGTGGGGTCCTGCTACAGATGTAACACTTTCACCTGGGGCTGGGCTGACCCATCCCTTGCTAGTTTTGATGTGTGGTCTGTGACCAGCAGCATCAGTGTCACCTGGGAGCTTCTGAGAAATGCACATTGTTAGGCTCCAAATTAAGGACATTTAAAATACCTTGGGGGTGGTGGGGGGCAGGAAAAGAAATAAAAGTTAAATTAAAATCAAAGTGACGCTGGGCATGGTGGCTCATGCATGTAATCCCAGCACTTTGGGAGGCCGAGGTAGGCAGATCACTTGAGGTCAGGAGTTTGAGACCAGCCTGGCCAACATAGTGAAACCCTGTCTCTACTAAAAACACAAAAATTAGCTGGACATGGTGGCGGGTGCTTGTAATCCCAGCTACTCAGGAGGCTGAGGCAGAATTGCTTGAATCTGGGAGACGGAAGTTGCAGTGAGCCGAGACCGCACCACTGCACTCCTTGTGACAGAGCGAGACACCATCTCAAAAATAAATAAATAAACAAAAATAAATAGGGTGGGTGCAGTGGCTCATGCCTGTAATCCCAGCACTTTGGGAGGCTGAGGCAGGCAGATCACCTGAAGTCGGGAGTTCGAGACCAGCCTGACCAACATGGAGAAACCCCGTCTCTACTAAAAATACAAAATTAGTCGTGTGTGGTGGCGCATGCCTGTAATCCCAGCTACTTGGGAGGCTGAGGCAGGAGAATCACTTGAACCCAGGAGGTGGAGGCTGTGGTGAGCCGAGATTGTGCCATTGCAGTCCAGCCTGGGCAACAAGAGTGAAACTCTGTCTCAAAAATAAATAAATAAAAAAAAATAAAATCAAAGTGACATCTGAATTAGCAGATGCTAGAGGAGAAGTTTCTTTCATCAGCATCCCTTTGCGTGGGTTGAGGGTCCCATAGGAGCCTGATCTGGCATTATACACAGGGAACACAAGAGAGTGAAGGGGAGAGAGGGCTGGAGTTCGCATCCCCTCAAAAGCTTTGCTTCTCATGAGCTATGTTAACGTCTGCTTTGCTCTATTTCTTTTACAAAGGAAGAAAATGCATTAACTGTAGACGTTTTCTACACGTGACCTGGGTAACTCTCAAGTTGTCCATCTAGTCAGAAGCTTCTATTACTTTTGGTACATTTTATTACAGACATGAAGAATAAGGGCCCAGGGCAGGGAGACTCCTGAGAATGTTGGGAGGGACAGATCTAACAGCTGCTGGTGGCCGGGCCCCTACCCTGTTGAACTGGGACCAGGACACGGACAGGCCGCTGTAGTCCTCCAGGTGGCTGCTGCTGTTGTTGAACAGTTTCTGCGCCAGGAACACAAGGTTCTCCTTGGTCAGGCCCCGGTTGCTCTGCACTTCGGCCTTGAATTTCATGTTGAGCGCCTCACACAGCTGTGGCCACAGCACTTTGTCAGGCACGGCAAATGGCACCCTGCCCTGAGAGGGAGAGAGGCCAGGATCTGATGAGAAAACAGTTGCATGATTTATTCCCTCAAGCCACAAAAGAAAAACACTGATGGCCGGGAGTGGCTACAAACTTTTGTCTTGCAGGGCCTGAGGATAAATTCGGACTCTGCCGGGGTACATAGTTCTGTGAAATTCAGAAGGTTCCCTTTCACCTTCTTTACACACAACTAGAAGGTAACCCGTGCTATCCATGTTGTTTTGTAAATGAGCTGCTGAACTAACAGTCAAATCCTTTGTTCTAACAGCCACAAACCAAAACATAACCAAGGTCTGGCTTTTAGATTGTAAACACCTTGGGAATTTAGAAATCTGAAAGACTGGTTCTCTAGGTACAAACAGAGAGAGTATGTGCGTATGTGTGTACACATGTTGGCATGTGTGTACACAAGTGGAATCCTTGCCCTCAACTCCTTCTGCCAAGAACTCTAGCTCAGAGTAAAACAACTTGGTATGGAAGAGTGGAAATTTTGAGTTGGATGGATTTATTGAGAAATAGGTTAGAACATTAACTTTTAATAAACTGCTTTTCAACCCGTTCGACCATAGTATTCCATTTTATTTTGTTATAAACCTTTTTTTCAATAGGTCATTTTCACATTATTTAAAATTCAAAAAGCATAGATGGCTATACAGTGAAGTCACTCCCTATCCCTGTCCCCCAGCAACCCAGTTCTTTTCTTTAAAGGCAGCTAACACAGTTTCTTGTGTATCCCACCAAAGATATTCTATGCATGCCAGCAATGACATACACTTTTTCCTTTTCTTCATAAATGGTAGCACAAAATCCACATGTTCTGCATTTTCCTCTTTTCACTTAATCCTCTATCTGGGAGACCTCATATCAGCACATAAAGAAATTTCACCAGACCCCCATAGATGGGCATCAGTGTTATAGCCTCATCTTTAGCTATTAACAAACAATGATGCAATGTTCTTATGTTATTTGACCCATAGGACACATAGGCAAATACATCTGAGGAATCAATTTCCACAAGTATTTTATTTTATTTTTTAGGTAAGATCTCGCTCTGTCATCCAGGCTGGAGTGCAGTGGCCCAATCTTGGCTCATTGCAACCTCTGCCTCCTCGGCTCAAGCAATTTTCCTACTTCAGCCTCCCCAACAGCTGGGACTACAGGCGTGTACCACCATGCCTGGCTAATTTTTGTGTTTTTTGTAGAGACAGGGTTTTGCCATGTTGACAAGGCTGGCCTCGAATTCCTGGGTTCAAGAGATTCACTTGCCTTGGCCTCCCAAACTGCTGGGATTGCAGGCATAAATCACTGTGCCTGGCCACAAGTCTTTATTTTTTATTTTTTAGTTTTTTGAGATGGAGTCTCACTGTGTTGCCCAAGCTGGAGTGCAGTGGCACCATCTCGGGTCACTACAACCTCTGCCTCCCGGGTTCAAGCGATTCTCCTGCCTCAGCCTCCCGAGTAGGTGAGATTACAGGCACGCATCACCATGCCCAGATAATTTTTGTATTTTTAGTAGAGATGAGAGTCTCACCATGTTGGCCAAGCTAGTCTCGAATTCCTGACCTCAAATGATCCACCCGCCTTGGCCTCCCAAAGTGCTGGGATTACAGGTGTGAGCCACCGTGCCCAGCTGCAAGTCTTTATTTTAACATAACATAAGGTCAGCTGGGTGCAGTGGCTCACGCCTGTAATCCCGGCACTTTGAGAGACTGAGGTGGGTGGATCACTTGAGGTCAAGAATTCAAGACCAGCCTGGCCAACATGGTGAGACCTGGGCTCTACTGAAAACATAAAACTAACTGGGCGTGGTGGCATGCACCTGTAATCCCAGCTTCTCAGGAGGCCGAGGCAGGAGAGTCGTTTGAACCCAGAAGGCAGAAGCTGCAGTGAGCTGAGATAATGCCACTGTACTCCAGCCTGGGTGACAGAGCAAGACTCCGTCTCAAAAAATTAAAAAAAAAAAATAGCATAAGATGTAAGCAGTCATTAACATAGCTGAGAATGTTAAAAATGTTTATTTATTTAGACAGGATACTTCAGTAATTACATGGTGCAGGAGAGGCCAAAGGTACAGAGAGTGAGATCTGTGGACAGGCAGGGAAGGAAATGAGAGATGTAACAATCTCATCCAGTAGGCTTATCAGGACAAGAGGCAGACAGTTTCAAACAGGAGCTTCTAATTCAGAGTCTGTAAGTGAAGCATGGTAGAATATCTTTTAAAAATCTCACCTTTGCAGTAAAATACTTTTTCTCTAAAGAGGACTGTTGGAAACGTTAAGCCTCTCCACATGAGCCAGAAGGTTCCATTTCACCTTCTTTACACACAACTGGAAGGTACCCCATGCTATCCATGCTGTTTTGTAAACGAGCTGCTGAACTAACAGTCAAATCCTATATTCTAACGGTCACAAAACAAAACATATCAAGGTTTGTTGGATATACTTAGAGAAGGACATACTCTTATGTCCCAAATGATAACCCTTTTATCATGCTTTTATGGGCTAATCTCTACTGGAAACATGTAACAAAAATTTTTTTTTCTTTGAGACAGGGTGTTGCTTTGTCACCCAGGCTAGAGTACAGAGGCGCAATCTTGGCTCACTGCAGCCTAGACCTCCTGGGCTCAAGCGATCCTCCTGGCCTCAGCCCCCCAAGTAGCTGGGACTACAGGCTGGTGTACCATGCCCGGGTAATTTTTTGGTATTTTTTGTAGAGACCAGATTTTGCCATGTTGTCTAGGCTAGTGTGGAGCTCAAGGGATCTGCCTGCCTTGGCCTCCTGGAGTGCTAGGATTACAGGCGTGAGCCACTGCACCCAGCCTATGAGATCTTTAAAACGCTCATCGAGCAGCAGGCTAGCGGGATTCAGATAACATTTGGGGGCATAAATCCACCAAATTAAATCTTCCTTGATACAAAGCATCTCATTCGTCATGAGACCTGGAATGAATCACAGAAACTAAAATTTGGAAAAGACATTTAATAGCATCTTCATTTATTGAAAGGAAGAGGATATGAAGCAACTTCTATGCTAAAGTAAGCCTCTCGAGAGATCTAACCTCTGGAGTGAACCTGGGAGTCCCAAATCCCATTCATAGTTTCACCCAAGGATTCAAAATAATATTGACTGGGTACTGACTGTGTGGCAAGCATTTTCTATGTTATCTAATTTAATCTTCCTAACAATGCTGTGGAGCAAGAGTATCCCTGTGCTGCAGACACCTGCTGGAAGCTCAGGCTCAGAGAGGTAAAGTGAACTGCCCATGTGTTCATGGAGTGAGGAAATGGTGGAGTCTCAGTTCAAACCCTGGCCCGACGTCAAGCCCATGTTCTTTCCACTTTCCACATTCTTTCTATTCTGCCTCCCACTAAAGAAAACAGCGTCTTTTTTCCTATCCTTTTTTTTTTTTTTTTTTTTTGGTTGTTTAATTGAGATGGAGTCTTGCTCTGTCACCCAGGCTGGAGTGCAGTGGTGTGATCTTGGTTCACTGAAATCTCTGCTGCTCGGGTTCAAGTGATTCTTGTGCCTCAGCCTCTCAAGTGGCTGGGATTACAGGTGTGTGCCATGACGCCCAGCTAATTTTTTGGTATTTTTTAATAGAAATAGGGTTTTGCCATATCGGCCAGGCTGGTCTCGAACTCCTGATCTCAGGTGATCCACCCACCTCGGCCTCCCAAAGTGCTGGGATTACAGGTGTGAGTCACTGTGCCCGGCCTTTTCCTATGCTTTTTAAAGGGATAATACGTGAATGAGATTCATGACACTGGCATTGATTTTGGGACCCACATGCCCGAGGAATCCACTCACAGGCTCTGCAAAAGCATTGTCCCAGAGAACGGTGGCCGTCGCATTGTTGTCTTGGCTGCCATGAACGATCACCACCACTGGCAGGGACAGGGTCTAAAAAGACACAAGAGAAGGCTGAGCGCCCACGAGCCTCAAGTTCTTCTCCTTCCCTGCTTTTTTTTTTCTTATTATCACAACGCTTTTATTTTCCAAGTTTCAGTTAATGTTCCTCTCACACACAGAATCTAAATGGCCCCAGGAATAATATGACTTTTCACACTGGCACAATCTTAGAAATTTTAAATATTTTACAAGCAATGTTGCTTAGATATTTCTGAAGGATAAAGTTTCTCAAAGTTATATGGAGAACAGGAGAGAGAAAAGAGACTATTGGAGACATTTCTGGGAAAAAATACAAATAACAAATTTAAAACTTACCACAATCTTTACTCAAATTCATCCCGAGTAATGCTTCTCATAATCCATTTTGTAGTCTATCTCTCCAGCTAGTTCAGTTCATTATTGTTTGTTCATGTTTTATTTTTTATTTTTATTTTTTTGAGACGGAGTCTTGCTCTGTCACCCAGGTTGGAGTGCAATGGCGCAGTCTAGGCTCACTGCAACCTCCGCTTCCCAGGTTCAAGTGATTCTCCTGCCTCAGCCTCCACAGTAGTTAGGATTACAGGCACACACCACCACACCCAGCTATTTTTGTATTTTTTGTAGAGACGGGGTTTCACCATGTTGGCCAGGCTGGTCTCAAACCCCTGACCTCGTGATCCACCCGCTTCAGCCTCCCAAAGTGCTGGGATTACAGGTTTGAGCCACCATGCCTGGCCTATTTTTTATTTTATTTATTTATTTATTTATTTATTTATTTATTTATTTTTGTCGAGATGGGGTCTCACTATGTTGCCCAGGCTGGTCTGGAATTCCTGAACTCAAGCAAAACTCCTGCCTTGGCCTCCCAAAGTGTTAGGATTACAGATGTGAGCCACTGCACTGGGCCTTGTTTGTTCCTGTTTTTTTTTTTTTTTTTTTTTAAAGACAGGGTCTTACTCTTTTGCCCAGGCTGGAGTGCAGTGGCACAATCTCGGTTCATTGCAACCTCAGCCTCCCAGGTTCAAGTGATTCTCCTGAGTAGCTGGGATTACAGGCATGTGCCACCAAGCCTGGCTAATTTTTGTACTTTTTAGTAGAGATGGGGTTTCACTGTGTTAGCCAGGCTGGTCTTGAACTCCTGACCTCAAGTGACCTGCCTGCCTCAGCCTTCCAAAGTGCTGGGATTACAGGCATGAGCCACTGTGCTCAGGCTTTGTTCATATCTTAAGAGAATCTAAGTGATACAGTTCTCAGGGTGAGGTCGGTCTGTTTTCAGTTGACCAATAGTCAAAAAGAAGATGCTATGTGATAAAAAAAATTATTTTGTAACATAAAGTACACCACATACACACACATGCACACCCAGAGCTTAGGGAAGGCTTTACCTTGACTTGAAAAACCAGCTCATTTCCACCAACACTGAACTGGGATTCAAACAGGATTGTAAATTTTTCTTCTGTCACTGACTCTGCCCCACGACGGTCTGATCTCTTAATTCGTTTCAGGGACTGCAAAGGAGAAATACAAGATGAAACATCAGATGAAAGTTGTTCTCCTCAAAGAACAGGGAAAAATTCATTCTTCCTCTTCTTCCACCCTCACCATATTCCTGAAGTGGGCACTAAGAGTGCCTGTGGCTTGGTGGTACTCCATGACACAGCAGTTGTTCAAGATCTCGCCACTGTAATCACTGCAAATCAGAGAGAGACCAGCTCCAAACCCATGCCAGGGTCTCAGGACATGTGGAGTAAATAATATAATTTGGGGTAGCAGGAAATAGAGAAGTTTGCTAAAAATGTACGTCATTTAGAGGAAATGTTAGCTACATAACATATACATGTAAGGTTCTCGGACGTATCTCTACAAAATGAAACAAGATCAAACTATCTTCACAGAAAACAGTTCCTAGGAGAACTTTTCTTTTCTTTCTTTTTTTTTTTTTTTTTTTTGAGACGGAGTTTTGCTCTTGTTTCCCAGGCTGGAGTACAATGGTGTGATCTCGGCTCACTGCAATCTCTGCCTCCCAGATTCAAGGGATTCTCCTGCCTCAGTCTCTCAAGTAGCTGGGATTACAGGCGCCCACCACCATGCCCGACTAATTTTTTGTATTTTTAGTAGAGATGGGGTTTCACCATGTTGGTCAGGCTGGTCTTGAACTCCTGACCTCAGGTGATCTGTCTGCCTCAGCCTCCTAAAGTGCTGGGATTACAGGCGTGAGCCACTGTGCCAGACCCAAGAACTTCCTTATATTCCTTTGCTGATGCCCAGAAGAGGCCAGAAGGGCAAACAAGGATCTGACACAGGAGGCAGAATTCTTTTTCTTCCTGTTGCCAGGACACGAGACAAGTAGCAGGGAATGAGAAGAAGCTGCACAATTACTTGCGCGTGTTCTCGTTCTTGAGCAGAGACTTGGCCTGCTGCTCACTGATGATGGTGGCCTTCACCTGGGGCGGGTTCATGTGCACGTTCAGCTTCCCACCCACCAGCAGGCGCACGGTGGCTGCAAACTTGGTCTGGGTCTTCAGGACCTGAGGAGGCTGCTTCTCAATGATGAATGTGCTGCAGGGGACACAGGGACAGACGTACGATGAGGGGTTGGCACAGGGGAAAGGGCTCTCAGTCCTCCTGTGGTGGGGGTGGGGCTGCCTCCCGCGGGGCTCAGGAGGTGAAAAGCACGGCCACAGCCTCTGTTCCTGGGGAAGCCATGAGAGTCCAGGGAAAGGATGGAGAGGGGAGTGAGATAACACAGCAGCTGGCATGGGCTGTGGCCCAAGGGCATCTCTTGCAGTGTCCACAGGAGAAACCGGGCAAGGGCGGCACCCAGCAGTCACAGCAACTGGAGATGGAGTGGGGAGGGATGAGAGGCACAAAGCGGATCTGCTGGTCTGGAAGGCACCTGCGGCCCCCCACACGCAGTCTGGAGCTGCCCCAAGCTCCTGGGCATGGCCAACAGGCAGCAGTCACCTGGTCACCAGGGCTGAGATGATGTCTGTGATGGTGGCGTTGGCCTCAGCCAGCATCTCCTCCACTGGGCCAGGGATGGGCAGCTGCTGGCAGAGGTGCTCAGCCCTGCGGATCTGCTGCCGGTTCTGCCAGATGATCTCGGCCAACTTCTCACACCTGCACGGGAGCCCCAAGGCCAACAGGAGGACAATGACTTCTTCAGACAGACGCCAGGCCCCAAGACACAGCTCCCCCTCCTGCAGGAAGGCTCTGTGCTTTCACCACACCTCCCACCCATGGGAAGAGCAGAGCTCCCTGCCTCCCAGAATTAGAAATGTACACAGGAGGGGCGACCCTGCCTAGGCCCAAACAGCCCGAGCATCACCCCACACCCCCGAGCTCTCTCCCACCCCCAGGACAGCAGCCCCCTTCCTGGGGGAGGTGCACAGGATGGGGGACCAAAGTCTGATTCAGGAACCAGGCCCCCTGGAGAAACAAGAGCTGTCCCAGGATGGAGGGGGCTTGCTGCAGGAGCCAGCACAGGAGGCAGAAGCAGCCAGGGTCCCCACCAGCCCCTCCTGCCCCGCCCTCTGGCCGCCCCACACCATTACCAGGACTGTAGCACGTCCAGGCTGCCCTCGGGGGGCCCGCCGTTCCCGGCCAGCTGCTGCCGCCGCTTCCACTGGATCAGCTCATCATCTAGGATAATGGTCTGCTGCTTCCGCAGCAGCTGCAGGGTCTTCTGGTGCTTCTCGGCCAGCTCCTGAGGGAAGGGAGGAGAGCAGCCCCTTCTGGGCTCCCAGAGAACACTGCAGGGCCTCGCTGGGAAATGGTAGAGCAGGGCCCAGGCCATTTCCTCTCCCCAAGCTGCTCTGCCTTGCATGGCTCCCAAAAAAATATGCCTCCTGCCCTCCCAGGTTCTGCTCTCATCCGGGCCCCAGCCCTCCCTCAGGTCCCCAGAGACTGACTTCATGGCACCCACGCCCAGGAGAAGGCCAGGACCCCACTCACCACGCGGTACTGCTGCAGCGTCTGTGCCTCGCGCTGCAGCCACGCCTCCAGAGACACCTGCTTCTGCTGGAGGGCCGTCTCCCGGCTCAGACGCTCCTGGGGGCTCAGCTGGGCCAGTGGGCCAAACTGAGCTAGAGGAAGGGATAGGAAACCATGACCGTCACCTCCCAGTGTCCAACAGGAGGCCCAGGGAAGCGCACTCACCCGTTCTGGAGCGAGACCCTCCCAGGCTCAGATACTGCATGAAGGGCAAGTCAGGGTTCCTGACAGACAGCGGGGGCAAGATGAATGGGCGCCTCAGGAGGTGCCTCTGGGCCCTGCTCGCCGGCCTCCTGACTCTGAGCGTCCCCTCTGGGGGTACCCGAGTGCTGGGGCAGCTGGGGAAGAGGCCCGCCTGTCTGCTGCCCGCCTGCCCCACAGAGCTGCCAGCCCTCTTCTCACAGCCCGGCATGGGTCTAGGCTGTCTGGGGTGCAAGCGTGCCCATGCCCTTGACTGTGGGTGAACCTGGGCAAATCACTTTCCTTTCTGTGCCTTGGCTTCTCCACATGTAAAACAGGAGATTCTTGGCACCTGCCTCAGTGGGGCGCTTGAAGATTAAATACATGAGGACATGGAAGATGCCAGAAAGCTTCCTGGCATGGGTGAGCTCTGTGTGAGGTTCGTCCTTCTTGGTTAATGGGGAACAGGACAGAGAGAAGAGGTGACAGAGACAAGCAGTTGCTCTGCCCCATCCCTCCCGCAGCGAGGCCTCCTCAGGGATCCCCGGCCCCGGCGGCTCTGTCTCGTCCCTGAGCACAGCAGTTCGCCCTCAGGGGAGGATGAGATTCTCGAGGGGCCGGAAGGGGCCCAGCATGTTTGTCCAGGTTGGCTCACTGTGAGCCCAGCTCACCAACCAGGGGAGACAGACAGACAGCAGAGGAGAGCATGTCCAGGGCCACTGGGGATGCAGAGCCACCAAGATTCTCTCAGGAAAGGGAGGCCGGAGGGAGGTGGCTTCTCTCCACACCATCTGTGAGGAGTCATTGATGGTGGGACAGGGAGTAAGTCAGGCCTCACTACCTTTTAAAAATTACTATGAAATACGTAAGACACAGGGAACATGGAACACAGGAGCACCTGTGTATCAATAACCCAGCCTAAGAAACTAGACATGTCCACAGTTACAGCCACCACTAGCAGACCCACCCCCCTCCCAACAACAGCCCCTCTCCACTACGCTGGGACTATTAATCCCTTCCCATCTCCTTCTCAACAGCCCAGCATCCTTGCTTGAGCTGAGTCAGAAGATGCGCGCATCAGCATGTCTCAGTCGAGCTCCTGGCTGGCCCCTGAGGGTCATGTCACCCTGACCCCAGCCCTGCCCCATGGGATGCACAAGCTGGGACAGACAAAAGCAACTCTATGTAGCCAGGAACAGCCCAGAGCTAGAACTCAGAAATATGGCTCCAATCTCACTGCAGGTATAGAGCAGGAAGAGGATCATCCAGGCACGGACAGATCCGAGGCGTGTGCATGGCTACCACGGGAATCCTGCCCAGCCACAGGGAGGGTGGTGGTGATCCCAACACCTGGGCCCAGCCTTCCTATGCAACAGACCCACTTAGGTCTCTCCTGGAAATTTGCAGAAGCTTTTGGTAAGGAGACCAGGGAGACAAGAAGCAATTTCCCTACTCCACCGGAGGCAGCTGAGCCTTCCCTGGCAAAAGCGGATCAACAGTCTGTGTTTCTGCTGAGTGAACTTGACAAATGGGACTGAGAAGACACTGCATGATGGATCCAAACCTAATCCACTACCACACACAGGAAACAGAAAAGTCAGGCATGGGATCAGAAATACTGTCGACAGTCTAAGGACTTGGGTAGGAATAACAGCCCCAAATCTTTTGTTTCCATTCTCAGAAGGAGCTGCCCTTCTTCTGGGGCCAGTCTAGGATGGGTTCAGATAAAAGGAAGACATGCTAGAATCATCCTTTCAACCTTTACTCAATAACTCTTATGTTTCAGGCATTGTGCTGGCCTCAGGGTACAGAGATAAAAGATATAGTCCCTTCTTCAAGATTTATGTTCCAGTGGAGAAGAGAAAGAGTAAATAAATAATATCACTATAGACATAAGATGGAACCTACATACATGGAATTAGAGGAGCATGTGCTATGTGTGTGTGTGTGCTGTGTGTCTGTGTGCATGGTGTGTGTGTGTGTGCTACGTATGGTGAGTGTGTGTGTATGCTGTGTGTCTGTGGAGTGTGAGTGTGCTCTGTGTGTGTGTGTTGTGTGTGTGCTGTGTGGGGTGTGTGTGTGCTGTGTGTCTGTGTATGGGGGGTGTGTGTGCTGTGTGTCTGTGTGTGTGGTGTGTGTGGTGTGTATGTGTGCTCTGTGTGTGTGTGTTTGGAGGGGCTGGGTGGTTGAGCCAAAGCTTCTCTGAGACTGAGCTGGGCATGGAAGCATAGAGAGGAAACTATTAAAGCTTAAACTGCCAAATTGCTACAGGGTCAAGAGGGGGCGCTGGTGGGGCTCCACAGCCTCACCACAAACTGAAGCTCTTTGTGCTTTAAGTACTAAGCAGGATTTATACCAGGCTAAGGGAGCTTTGTCCATAAGGGCTACCCAAGGAGCGTTAAGTGTACTCTGCTCCAGGAAGACCTTTGTGAATAACTGCACAGAACATCAGAAATCAGTTACTACAAATACGGGTCCTTAGTACTTACACGTCCCTGCTTAGAAAGGTTTCTTTTCCTCCTTAGAGATAGGGTCTTACTATGTTACCTAAGCTAGTCTGAAACTACTGGCCTCAAGTGATCCTCCTGCCTTGGCCTCCCAAAGCACCAGGATTGCAGGTGTGCAAAACCACTCCCAGCTTATAATTTTTTTTTTTTTTTTTGAGACAGAGTTCTGCTCTTTTTACCCAGGCTGGAGTGCAATGGTGATATCTTCGCTCACTGCAACCTCCGCCTCCCGGGTTCAAGAGATTCTCGTGCCTCAGCCTCCCAAGTAGCTGGGATTACATGCATGTGCCACCATGCCCAGCTAATTTTGTATTTTTAGTAGAGAGGGGGTTTCACCATGTTGGCCAGGCTGGTCTCAAACTCCTGACCTCAGGTGATCCACCCGCCTCACCCTCCCAAAGAGCTGGGATTACAGGCGTGAGCCACTGTGCCCAGCCAGAAAATTTTTTAAACATGTAATTATATAATTTCTATTTATCATTTCAGTAACGTTCCACTTATAATATGCCTACTATATACAAAAGTATTGCCTGCTAGTGTTTATTTAGACTGTGAGCTCCTTCTCAAAAGAGGAAATGTCTTCTGTGGCAGCTCAGAAGCTTCCTGGATGTGGGGACCTGAGCGAGACACGCACTCAAGGGCAGGCGCCCTGCCATCTCCCCTTCCTAAATCTCATCCTCTCAGTACTGTCTTCAATGCAAATAAATCCCTGCTACTCAGAGAAAGGTTGCTGCCTCCGAATGGAAAATGGGCTTTCTCCCAACCCCACTGGAGCTGCTTTCCAGTCCCCACGCCCACCCTCAGGATGCACACTGTGCCTCCACCGCGCCTCACCTTGGATCCTCAGGCTCTCCTGGTACTGGATGATGAAGTACTCCTGAGTCTGCTGCAGCTTCTTCAGCTCATTCTCTGTGTCCTGCGTGACCAGTCGCAGCTCCTCAAACGTCTGGTTGATCTGGAGGTGTTTCTGGGACATGGCGTCAGCAAGGCTTCCAGCTGGAGAACTACCCTGGGAACAGATGGGGGGCAGTGCAAGGTGGTGGGAATGGGAGGAAGCCTGAGGCCTTAATCCCCAGGAAAAGCCTATGCCAGCTCCTGCAACTGGGCTAAGACCCTAAAAGGTAAATTTCAAGTCGGGAGGAATAGCAAACGTCATCTGTGAGACACAGGGTGGAGTGGGAAAAGTGAGAAACAGGGGAGCGGACAGATCACGGTTCAGATCACAAAGCATGGGAGAAGCTTCCATTTCAGATCTGACCTCCACCAGAGTATCCTAAATGGGGTTCACTGAATTACCTTTGGAGAGACTAGAACATAACCTGTTCCAGTGTCACGTGGGTTTTCCTACTAATGAGGAGGTGGAGTGATTCCTCTTCCACTCATTGACCCAATGCAAGGATGGCATTAAGCATTAGGGAAGCCATGGGGAGCAGGGCCGTGTGAACACACATCATCTGTGTCCTCACTCAAAATATTCTCATGATGGAATCATTTGCTTCCACCATGGAAGAGGCCAGACCTCTCACAGGCATCCTGGAGACCCCAGGATGAAGTGATGGGGGAGGCATAAACAAGGTCTCTGTGAACCCAGCCCTGTAAGTGACCTGGTCAGACCACTCTCACCTGATTCAGGGCTAGGGAAAAGTCTTTCCTAAGCATCCTCACCTGAATATGAGCAGGCCTTTACTAAAAAATTACTCAGTTGAGGTTAAATTACTTTGCACTTGTTCATATTGTTTTGTGGTTGCAATCTCATCAAGGTTATAAATCAGTTAAGATCAAAGACCATATCTTCTATTTCTTTTCTTTTTCTCTTTTTTTTGAGACAGGGTCTCATTCCATCACCCATGAGTGCAGGGGTGCGATCATGGCTCACTGCAGCCTTTACCCCCTGGGCTCAAGGGATCTTCCCACTTCAGCTTTCCGAACAGTTAGGACTACAGGCATGTGCCACCGTGCCCAGCTAATTTATTTTTTTGTATTTTTGGTAGAGACAGGGTTTCACTATGTTACCCAGGGTGCTCTCGAACTCCTGGGCTCAGGCAATCTGCCTGCCTCAGCCTCCCAAAGTGCTAGGCTGCAGTCAGTCACATCTCCTATTTCTTTTGTGCCCCTTAGGACGATGCTCTCTCTCTTTTTTTTTTTTTTTTTTTTTTTTTTGAGATGGAGTCTCGCTGTGTCGCCCGGGCAGGAGTGCAGTGGCTGGATCTCAGCTCACTGCAAGCTCCGCCTCCTGGGTTTACGCCATTCTCCTGCCTCAGCCTCCAGAGTAGCTGGGACTACAGGCGCCCGCCACCTCGCCCAGCTAGTTTTTTGTATTTTTAGTAGAGACGGGGTTTCACCGTGTTAGCCAGGATGGTCTCGATCTCCTGACCTCGTGATCCGCCCGTCTCGGCCTCCCAAAGTGCTGGGATTACAGGCTTTAGCCACCGCGCCCGGCCAGTTGGACGATGCTCTCTTTAAAGAGACACCAGTAGTGCACCCTGAGTCACCTTGACAAAGGTGGGTCCAGAGAGAGGTGGGTAAGAAGAGACTTCCCGACTGCCCTCCCCACACATATGGGACACTCACATTGTTGGCTTCTCGGACCAATCTCTGCTCATTGTACAATATATGGCGGATGCAGCGGACCAGCTCCATGGGGCAGCGGTCATACGTGTTCTGAAAGAATCCAACAGCAGACATCAATTTGTGCCATTCCACACTATGGGCCTTATCCATGCCTCAGGATGGGGAGCCTCCTGAGGGACCTCCTGAATCACAGGAGATACTGTTCCTCCAACACCAACAGGAATAAGAAGGCACATCATGGAAACCCAATTACAGTGAAAAGGTAAGACTGTTTTACTTCTTTTTTCCTTTTTTTTTTTGAGACTGAGTCTCACTCTGTTGCCCAGGCTGGAGTGCAGTGGCACAGCCTCGGCCCACTGCAACGTCTACCTCCCGGGTTCAAGTGATTCTCTTGCCTTAGCCTTCCGAGTAGCTGGGATTACAGGCGCCCGACACCATGCTTGGCTAAGTTTTGTCTTTTTAGTAGAGATGGGGTTTCACCATGTTGGCCAGGCTAGTCTCAAACTCCTGACCTCAGGTATCCACCGGCCTTGGCCTCCCAAAGTGCTGTTTTATTTTTTGCATCTTAATTTGCCTAAAGTATCTGGGGAACATTCTTAAAAATGGAATAAGTAAGTTTTAAAAGCCTCGCCAGAGGAGACACTGGACACCACCCTCAACTGGGCAATCAAAACTACTAACACCAATGAGGGGACGAGGGACACAGCCCGTCTGAATGTGATACCCGAGAAGGACACAGTGTCACCTACAGTTGTCCCTTGGTATCTGTGGGGGCTGGTTCCAGGACCCTCTTGGATACCAAAATCTGCAGATGCTCAAGTTCCTTATACAAAATGGCATCATTTTGCATAGAACCCATGCAATTCTCTCATACACTTTAAACCACCTATAGATTGCTTATATTATCTAACACAAAGGAAATGCTATGTAAATAGCTGTTCTGTCATATCTTTGTTTGTATTTTTAAAATCGTTGTATTGTTACTTTTTTTCTTTTCCTATTTCTGAGCTGCGGTTGGTGGAATCGGAGGATGCAGAACCCACGGACGTGGATAGTCAACTATATTTAAAAGTCGGCTCAGAGATGTGCAACGTTAACGTAATCATGAGGAAACATCAGACAAACCCCAAATGAGGAACATTTTATCTTTAAAAAGCAGGGGGTACATGAATTATTATTATTTTTTGAGATGGAATTTCCCTCTTGTCACCCAGGCTAGAGTGCAATGGCATGGTCTCGGCTCACTGCAACCTCCGCCTCCCAGGTTTAAGCGATTCTCCTGCCTCAGCCTCCTGAGTAGCTGGGATTACAGGTGTCCAACACCGCACCCAGTTAATTTCTGTATTTTTAGTAGAGATGGGGTTTCACCATGTTGGCCAGGCTGGTCTTGAACTCCTGACCTCAGATGATTCGCCCACCTCGGCCACCCAAAGTGCTGGGATTACAGGTGTGAGCCACTGCACCCAGCCTAATTATTTTAAAATGTCAATGTAATGAAAGACAAAGTAAGGTTGCAAAACGGTTCCAGATTAAAGGAGATTAAAGAGGCATGATGACTAGATGCAGTGTGTGGTCTTGGACTGGATTCTTGGCTGCAGCGGGAAAATACCCTAAAGGACATGCTTGAGTTAGGTGACAAAATGGAAATCCAGAAGAGTACCTAAAAGTATTATATCAATGCTAAATTTAGTGGAGTTGATCAGTGTATTATAACCACACAAGACAAGGTTCATTCTTAGAAAATGCACAGAGGGGCCGGGCAAAGTGGCTCACGCCTGTAATCCCAGCACTTTGGGAGGCCAAGACAAGCAGATCACCTGAGGTCAGGAGTTCAAAACCAGCCTGACCAACATGGAGAAACCCCATCTCTACTAAAAATACAAAAATTAGACGGGTGTGGTGGCATGCACCTGTAGTCCCAGCTACTCAGGAGGCTGAGGCAGGAGAATCACTTCAACCCAGGAGGCGGAGGTTGCAGTGAGCCGAGACTACGCCACTGCACTCCAGCCTGGCAACAAGAGTGAAACCCCATCTCAAAAAAAAAAAAGACAATGCACAGAGGGACCGGGCATGGTGGCATATGCCTATAATCCCAACACTTAGGGAGGTTGAGGTGCAGATCACCTGAGATCAGGAGTTCAAGACCATCGTGGCCAACATGGCAAAACCCCGTCTCTACTAAAAATACAAAAAAAAAAAAAAAAAAAAATTGCCAGGCATGGTGGCCGGAGCCTGTAGTCCCAGCTACTTGGGAGGCTAAGGTAGGAGAATCGCTTGAACCCAGGAGGCGGAGGTTGCAGTGAGCTGAGATCGCTCCACTGCACTCCAGCCTGGGTGACTGAGCAAGACTCCGTCTCAAAAATAAATACATAAATAAATAAAAATAAAAAAAAGAAAATGCACAGAGGTACTTACTGGTACAGGGACACAAGGTATGCAACTTACTCTCCAGTGACTGAAAAACGTGTGTGTGTAAAGACAGCGAGGAGTATATGACAACGTAAAAGTCAACAATAGGTGAATATGGGCATATGTGGGGAATCTTTGTATGATTCTTGTGACTTTCTGGAAGTTTGAAATTATTCTCAAATAAAAAGTGAAAAAAAAAAAAAGACCAAAACCAAACGACAAGAACCTTATGCATGTACATATAACTCAACAATGCTGGACTGAAGGAGAGAAAGAAAGTCTCTACAGGAAGAAGACCCCCGAGGGAAGATAATTAAGTGTGACCCCAGAGCCCACACCCACCTGGAGCTGCGTGGCGTAGTGCCCCAGCTTGATCTTCAGTAAAAACCCATCTTCCCCGACCTGGTGCTCCGCCTTCTTCTGCAGCTCCTGCACCAGGCCCTCCAGGAGCTGGGTGGCCTTAATGTTCTCCTGTGGATTATCAAGATCTATTGAGTCCCTAGGGGAAAAAAATTACATAATCTGTATACATACATGCACATGAGCCTGTATAAATGCAGCCTCAACACATCCCACTTTTTCTTCAACTAAAGTGATTTTTTTAGTGCTTACTGCAAATTTTAAGAAACAGCCCAACAGAAATGGACTCAATGCCTACATTAATCGATTTGTAATTTACTAAATAGTTGGATTATACTGTAGCTTTCATTCTTTTTTAAAAAAAATTTTTTTAACAATGTGCTGCCCTTCCTCCTTTCTCTCAATGATGTGCTTGGTGCTTATGCTATTTGCTCCAAGAAATGCAAGGAAAAGGAAAGGGTTCTGTGTGCTCTGAAGGAAATAAGGACTTGGATAATTTCCTATTTATAGTTACCCCTCATGGGTGGAAAGGAGGCACAAGGCCAAGACTCTTCTACATATCCTTTCCAGCCTCAAGGAGTTTGGTATCTGCAGGTTTCTTAGGTAGAGATAGGTGAAAGAAGCTATTGCTACTTCTAAGAAGCCCTAGAAATGAGACATTCAGGCAGACGGTGCCTACAAGCATTTATATGAGTCAGACATATCACTAGTTGCAGACCTAGGACCTGACGGCAATGCCAGCTTCTCCGGTAAACAAAGAAAACCACGCTACAGACTCTGCATTGATTTCGAGCTATTAAACTGATGACAGGGATTCGGATAGTCTCCCTCCCTCCTTTCTTTCTTTCCTTTTTTCTTTCTTTCTTTCTTTCTTTCTACAACTTGGGCAACAATTGACACTGGGAAGTACCAAATTACTTAGTCACTGAAGAAACCAAACAGCTGTCAGACTGAAATAACATTCAATAACTGCTGACTGGGTTTGCAGCCAAACAAGATAGTGGTAGCTAAAAGGCTCTGCCATCCCTAAGTCCCTGAAGATAGCAACTAATTTCAAAAAGAGGCACCAACAGTGTATCAAAACAGTGATACCAGCCCGGTGTGGTGGCTCATGCCTGTAATCCTAGCACTTTGGGAGGCTGAGATGGGCTGATTACCTGAGCTCAGGAGTTGGAGACCAGCCTGAGCAACACGGTGAAACCCCATCTCTACTAAAATACAAAAGAAATTAGCCGGGCATAGCAGCGTGTGCCTGTAGTCCCAGCTACTTGGGAGGCTGAGGCAGGAGAACTGCTTGAACCCGGGAGGTGGAGGTTGCATTGAGCCAAGATCGTGCCACTGCACTCCAGCCTGGGCAACAGAGCAAGACTCTGTCTCTACAAAAACAAAACAAAACAAAACAAAACAAAACAAAGCAGTGATACCATACTCCATCAAATAGTACACCCTAATCTGCACCTTGAGAAGGCAGTTAAAGCAAGTCAGATTTTAAATATGTGTGCCCTATGTATTAAATAGAATATGTATTAAATGAAAGGCTGGAAGGAATGAGGGCAGCCTGTACCTCTGTTTCAACTGGCAACAATGCCCCTGGTCTGGAAACCCACTCTTTTTTTTGAGATGAAGTCTCACTTTGTCGCCTAGGCTGGGATGCAGTACCACGATCTCAGTTCACTGCAACCTCCGCCTCCCGGGTTCAAGTGATTCTCCTGTCTCAGCCTCCCAAGTAGCTGGAATTACAGGCGTGCACCACCATGCCCGGCTAATTTTTATACTTTTAACAAAGATGGGACTTTGCCATGTTGACCAGGCTGGTCTCAAACTCCTGATCTCAAGTGATCCACCCGCCTCAGCCTCCCAAAGTGCTGGGATTATAGGCATGAGCCACCACACCCGGCCAGGAACCCACTCTTGAGAGGATCCAGTCTCTAAGCAAAACTCATAGAAGTCACGTATTGGTTCTTTACTTGAAACCTTAATTCTCTGTTAAAAAAAGACTTGCTTAGATGGCTTAAACATAAAGAATTGAAGATTTGGCTGGGCCCGGGGGCTCACGCTTGTAATCCCAGCACTTTGGGAGGCTGAAGTGGGCAGATCACAAGGTCAGGAGTTAAGAGACCAGCCTGGTCAATATGGTGAAACCTCGTCTCTATTAAAAATACAAAAATTAGCCCGGTGTGGTGGCAGGCACCTGTAATCCCAGCTACTTAGAAAGCTGAGGCAGGAGAAAGGCTTCAACCCGGGAGGCGGAGGTTGCAGTGAGCCGAAATCAAGCCACTGCAGCCTGGTGACAGAGGGAGACTCCGTCTCAAAAAAAAAAAAAAAAAAGAAAAAAAGAATTGACGATTCTTCATTAAAATCTTTATATTCTTAAGAAAACCAAAGCTAAAAAAATTTCAAGTTTTCCTTAATATCAACACAAGTCTTTTAATTCATTCAGTGAGAACACCAAACGGGAACTCTGCTAAGTGAAATCTGAAATTAACAGAAACTTCCTACTCATGTTTTTCTAAATCCTCCAAATCAAGAAAACAGGAGAGAAAATGAAAAGGGAGGGGAAAGCACTAAACAAGGTACAGCTGACATTCTCATATTTAACTCATTTTTTCCCCTCACTTAATTACATGAAGCTGAGATTTTTTTTAATTGTCTAGAAAATTGCCTTTCTTTGGTGATCTTTAGTTTCTGAACGGAAATTTGCTACTAACACTCATTGCGATTATTCTAAGGCAACATTACTGATAGGTAAGTATACGGCCCTCTGCAAATAGCAGCATCAAAGCTGGCTTCTCTGAGGCACTGTCAAAGAGGACCCCTGGTTAAGATGGTGAGGCTTGAAGTATCAAATGAATATGCCAGATCGACTGACAGACCGTAACTAAGCAGCAAGCTCCCAGACCCTGAGCAGTGTACATCCTGCTGCCTGGTGTGTAATAATGATACTAATTAAAAACCTGCGCTGTTAGTCGACTGCACTGTACTAATTCTAAAAGAAATTTAAAACAACTCTCCCCTCCCCCAAGTATGTAATCAGTAATCTGGAAAATAAAGAAAAATTAAAATGCTTGTCAAATCTACCACCAGAATGTAATTAGTGTTAACATTTGGGTATATTTTCGTTTAGTGTTTTTTGTTTTTTTTTTAAAAAGGCAATCTCACTCTGTTGCCCAGGCTGGAGTACAGTGGTGTGATCTCGGCTCACTGCAACCTCTGCCTCCCGGGTTCAAGCGATTCTCGTGCTTTAGCCTGCGTCTGGAGTAGCTGGGATTACAGGCACCCATTACCACGCCCAGCTAATTTTTTGTATTTTCAGTAGAGACGGAATTTTGCCGTGTTGGCCAGGCTTGTCTCAGAACTCCTGGCCTCAAGTGATCTGCCTGCCTCGGCCTCCCAAAGTGCTGGGATTACAGGCATGAGCCACAACACTCACCTAATTTTCTTTTAGTCTTTATGTGTATATATAAAATACATACAAATTAAAAACACCAATGTCTCCACTGTTAAATTATTAATTTTTAGTTTTTTGTTAGATGTAAACTTATTAAGAAATGTAAAATAATTTACATTTAATAAAATAAACTATAATAAATTATAATTAAATTATATGCATATTCACACCTATCTGCCCCATTAAACACTAAATTATTATTATTTTTTTTGACATAGGATCTCGCTATGTTGCCTAGGCTGGCCTCAAACTGCTGGGGTCAAGCAATCCTCCCATCTCAGCATCCTGGGTAGCTGGGATTACAGATGTGCACCACCACGTCCAGTGAAACACGGAATTATTTGGAGATGAGGGCTTTAATTTTGTTTGTTTGTTTGTTTTGAGACAGGGTCTTGCTCTGTTGCTTAGGCTGGAGTGCACTGGTGTGATCATAAGTTACGGCAACCTCTGCCTCACAGGCTCAAGCGACCCTCCCACCTCAGCCTCCGGAGTGGCTGGTACTACAGGTACACACCACCACAACTGGCTAATTTTTGTATTTTGTACAAAGACAGGGTTTTGATATGTTGCTCAGGCCTTCCTTGAACTCCTGGGCTCAAGCAATACACCTGCCTTGGCCTCCCAAAGTGTTGGGATTATAACACAAGGTTGGGCTTTAATTTTTTTCATACAAATTCTATTACTTAGGACACTGCTAGGCATCCTATGGGCACTCGAAACATATTTGTTGGCTGCTCTTTATTAGCAGTAATATTCTAATGCTTTTAGACAGTATTTACTACTAAAGGGAACAAATCCTATTTTAAAAATCTCAAGAGTTATTCCATCCCCTCAATCTAAGATGGGGTTAAATACTTTTCATGTATAAAAAGAAAATTTTTTAAAAATACCTTTTTATGGATCACATTTAAAAATGTTTAAAAATACAACTTTGAAAGTTGCCATCATGACATCTTTCTAACCAAACTCCAATATTCTTGTGTTTCACAAAATATGATGCAAACATCCTTGTTCACCTACCAGGCTTGGCTTTCAATCCACTGGGATAAATAATGCCGCACCTCAATGGGAAAATGCTGGCCATATAACGCTTGCATCTGATGAAGGGCTTCTCCTTGGAGCTGCTGAGCTTGTATCCACACAGCCATGGTTTACAATCTGTTGAACAAACAATCAGTGCTTTCGGTGTTTTTTCTTTATTTTCCCCTTACATCCACCAGAGTAAATATTCACATAGTTACCAAGGTAAATGTTTTTATTATTTATTTTTATTTTTATTTTTTTGAGACAGTCTTGCTCTCCACCCAGGCTGGAGTGCAGTGGCACAATCTTGGCTCACTACAACCTCCGCCTCCCCGGTTCAAGCGATTCTCCTGTCTCGGCCTCCTGAGTAGCTGGGATTATAGGTGTGCATTACCATGCTCGGTTTATTTTTGTATTTTTAGTAGAGATGGGGCTTCACTGTGTTGGTTGGGCTGGTCTCGAACTCCTGACCTTAAGTGATCCTCCCACCTCAGCCTCCTAAAGTGCTGGGATTACAGGCATGAGCCACCATGCTCGGCCAAAGTAAATGTTTTTAGCCTTTTTGATAGACTAAAGACAGTATTCTTGATTTTAACTTTAAAATGTTTTCAAAATGTAGACACTCGGCCTGGCCATGGAAAGATACACAGTTGGGTCTATGAAGCTCTGACTATGAAACGTACTAAGGTCTTATAAGCAAAAGTGCAAAAGGAGTATTAGGGAAAGAATCGCTAACTTTGACATCGTAGACATATTCTTTACTTTTGTTCAAAATTGTCAGCTATGGTAAGCAGCATTTCAACAGTAATAAATAACAGAGAGTTTTTTTTTTTTGAGACAGAGTCTTGCTCTGTCGCCCAGGCTGGAGGGCAGTGGCACGATCTTGGCTCACTGCAACCTCCGCCTCCCAGGTTCAAGTAATTCTACTGCCTCAGCCTCCCAAGTAGCTGAGATTATAGGTACCCACCACCACACCCAGCTAATTTTTGTATGTTTAGTAGAGATGGGGTTTCACCATGTTGGCCAGGACGGTCTTGAACTCCTGACCTCAAGTGATCCACCTCAGCCTCCCAAAGGGCTGGGATTACAGGTGTGAGCCACTGCGCCCAGCTGAGAGATTTTTTTTTTTAATCACTTGTTTTAGATTTGTTATTTTGACTTCAGAAATACAATAAACATATGCTGTTTTGAAAAAGCCCAGTAAAAGAAAAGTGAAAGTATCTAAAGCGTGGATTGAACCCTATGCATTATCACTGGTTACCTAAGCAGCAATGCTCTGCACATACAGAGCACAGATTTATCTGGAAAAAATGTCCCAAGGTTCACCTCCTGAGTTACTGCTAAGGAATTTATGAAGCAACGTTCTGTTAAATTATAGCATTTACAAATCTTCCAGACACAAAAATAATACATTCCACCTAAGAGTTAGAAATATGAACCATTATGCTCCGATAGCAGGTAGTCTCTTTCTTTATTTTTTTTTTTCTGAGACGGAGTCTCGCTTTGTCGCCCAGGCTGGAGTGCAGTGGCATGATCTCAGCTCACTGCAAGCTCCGCCTCCCGGGTTGATGCCATTCTCCTGCCTCAGCCTCCTGAGTAGCTGGGACTACAGGTGCCCGCCACCACGCCCGGCTAATTTTTTCTATTTTTAGTGGAGACGGGGTTTCAGTGTGTTAGCCAGGATGGTCTCGATCTCCTGACCTTGTGATCCGCCCACCTCGGCCTCCCAAAGTGCTGAGATTACAGGCTGAGTCACTGCCCCAGCCAGTAGTTTCTTTTTTTAACATGCTCTTGATTAAAAAAAAAAAAAAAAAAGGCTTTATAAAACTACCATGATGCCCCCTCAGACTCACCTGACAATTTTTAACTCATTTGGCAGACACTCTTTGGGTTTGACCAGATTAGGGCAGAAACATCTGGGTAGACTGGGAAGGGACTTCAAGTAACTATAAGGACTGAAAATGAATCTTGCTCTAACACTATTTTCCATAATGTAGAGTTTGGTATAAGGCAGGGTTATGTTGAATTCCATCCCACATGATTTGGCTACTGATTTGCACAACTCTCCTAAGAACTAGGTTACAGTTAGGGGCTGGTGACTTGGACTTGGATTTTGTTTACTACCAGAGACTGCACAAGTGTGTTAGGAAGCAAAAGTCTCTTCTGTTAGTTGTAGTTGTCTGATCACATAACACTGAGCTATTTATGGGACAAGTCAGTTAGCCAACGATGAGGTGTAGGGGAGTGCCAGTCATCTATTTCAGACTTGTGCAATGCTATAGAACACTTGAGAAGTGTGTAATTTTATTTAGGGCTTTTAGGCATTAAGGCTGGGATCACTGTAAGACCCAATTTGACCCAAGACATCAAATTTCAGTGGCTGTGAGTTCACCAAAACACTCAGGAAAAACAGCTCTCTCCAGAAACAATTCCACTTTATAATTAAACACTGGAAGTCACTTAACTGCACAATGTATTTTTTAATCAAATAAATCATATCACAAGATTTTGGAAAACTAGAACAGATACCAAATCATGAGTTTTGGATGAAGGATAAGGAACGGATGGCCAGGCATGGTGGCTCACGCTTGTAATTCCAGCACTTTGGGAGGCTGAGGTGGGCAGATCACCTGAGGTCAGGAGTTCGGGTCCTGCCTGGCCAACATGGCAAAACCCCGTCTCTACTAAAAATACAAAACAATTAGCCAGGTGTGGTGGCATGTGTCTGTAGTCCCAGCTACTCAGGAGGCTGAGGTAGGATCATCACTTGAACCTGGGAGGCAGAGGTGGCAGCGAGCCAAGATTACGTCACTGCACTCCACCCTGGGCGACAGAGCCAGATTTTGTCTCAAGAAAAAAAATTATATAAGGGATGGATGAATGAAGGTGCTTAGGCACTTAAGTATATGGAAGAGTGATAAAAGAATGAAGAGAAGAATTCAGGTGTTAATCTTCCTAAGTAGTAAAGAATAAGAAGTAGGATCTCACCATAGCTCTCAATGAATATGTGAGTGATACCAACAGATACAAATATTCTCTTGCATCTGCATTCATTACGTGAAATGACTCAAGAGACAAAAGAAGGAAAGCTATGACAACTTTTATCTCACCAGAGACTCCTTCCCAGCCCACTCAAATAAAATGGCATTCTGGTCACTCTCTACCCTCTTAATCTGCTTTATTTTTCTTCTTATCATTTATCAATTCCTGATATTGATCATATATTTGCTTACTCACTTCCCACCAGGGTGAAATCACCATGAACACAATGACTTTGTTTTGTTCACTGTGCTTTCTCCTGGGTCTAGAACGGTACCTGGCACATAAGCATCATAATTTTTTTTGTTGCATAAATAAATGTATACATACAATTTGACCGACTCCATCGGCTCTTTTCAAAGTCATAATAGAACAATATACCAGTATGAAATACCAAGGCATGAAAACAGAACAGATTTCCATTTAAATAATCAATTATTTAATTGATTATTATTATTACTATTATTTTTTCAGTCAGAGTCTCGCTTTGTCACCCAGGCTGGAGTGCAGCAATCTCAGCTCACTGCAGCCTTTGCCTCCTGGGTTTAAGCGATTCTCCTGCCTCAGCCTCCTAAGTAGCTGGGACTACAGGCACACACTGCCACGCCCAGCTAAGTTTTGTATTTTTAGTAGAGATGGGGTTTCACCATGTTGGCCAGGATGGTCTTGACCTCCTGACCTCGTGATCTGCCCTCTTCGGCCTCCCAAAGTGCTGGGATTACAGGCGTGAGCCACCACCCTCAGCCAGGAGCACATCTTATTCACGACTGTGTCCCCAGTGTCTAGTATGGTGGCTTGCCCATGAAAAGTGTTCAAAAAATACTTGTGGAGCAAATACATAAACAAATATTTAACATGCCCCGCTGGTCAAGCATATTTAGGAGCCTATTACTGTTTTAGGAAAGAAATACTGTGGTGATATAACATACATGTAGGGGTATTAAAAAATGTCACTCTATTTTGCCTTAAATTTTAGATTATTTCTTAGTTTTCATCAAAGAGTAGAACGCTGAGCTCTTAGAATTTGTCAGAATATTTTTACGATTCTAGTTGTGAACATGCCATAATAATTATTTTCTAAAATAGCATGCCATTTGAAGGATAATAGCTGGTAAATACCAAGTGGCAATCACCTTATTTTGATAAAATACAATATAGTTTCACTACACATAAGTGCTTTGATAGAGTTGGAGAGTAGATTCTGCTCACTGCTACTCAAAAGTATAAAATAAAAGTACACTAACTAGTACAGAGTCATTTTTATTTTACTGTTAAACTGAAAATTATCTATATGTGAAATATGAGATGACTTACTGAGACTATCATAAAATTCTAAATACCCAGTTTAGGAAAAAACCAACTGTTTTCCCAGTTATGTGAATAACACCTAGAAGCTATGTAGTGGTTTTTTGTTTGTTTGTTTTTTGAGACGGAGTCTCACTCTGTCGCCTAGGCTGGAGTGCAGTAGCATGATCTCAGCTCACTGCAGCCTCCGCCTTCCGAGTTCAAGTGATTCTCCTGCCTCAGCCTCCTGACTAGCTGGGACTACAGGCGCCCACCACCACGCCTGGCTAATTTTTTTTTTCTGAGACAGAGTCTCGCTCTGTCACCCAGGCTGGAGTACAGTGGTATGATCTCGGCTCACTGCAAGCTCCACCTCCCGGGTTCACGCCATTCTCCTGCCTCAGCCTCCCGAGTAGCTGGGACTACAGGTGCCCGCCACCACGCCGGCTAATTTTTTGTATTTGTAGTAGAGATGGGGTTTCACCATGGTCTCGATCTCCTGATTTCATGACCCGCCCACCTTTGCCTCCCAAAGTGCTGGGATTACAGGCGTGAGCCACCGCGCCCAGCTGCCTGGCTAATTTTTTTAGTACAGATGGGGTTTCACCATGTTGGCCAGGCTGGTCTTGAACTACTGACCTCAGGTGACCTGCCTGGCCTCCCAAAGTGCTGGGATTACAGGCATGAGCCACCATGCCTGGCCGCTAAGTAGTATTTTTCTTCATACATGTCAGAACACTTCACCCCCTTATCAGGCTATGTCCACATGCCTGACATGAGTGGCATTCATCTAACTGACATTCATTCTTCTA